TCTAGTGTAGTAGTTCTCAACCAGGGACATTTTGGTCCCCCGGGGGACAAGTGGCAATTTCTGGAGGCATTCTTCCTTGTGACAACTGAGAGTAGGGGTGGGAGAGGGTTCTACTGACATCTAGTGGGTAGAGGCCAGGGATGCTGCTAAATGTCCTACAACGCATGGCCCAGCCCTCTCCCTGCTTCATCTGCTCTCTGAACAGAGCATTGCTTGGTCTAAAACATCAGTGGTACTGAGGTTGAGAAACCCCATTCCCTAGTTTTAAGGATTTAGACAGTGTGAAATAAGGCTACTTGCTTGGGGAGTTCAGACTGAAAAGAAATAAATACTTAATATTAACGAATACTTTAAGACAGAATTAACTATAACCCCACCAACTTCTGCCCAAATGAATGTCAGTGTTTGTAAGGGTGCACTTATGATGTAGATACCAGCTTGTATTCTTGTTTCCATTTACAAATGTCACTTTCATAGTCTTTATATCACTTTAATAGAGAATATTCCATTGTTTCTGTGCACAAAAATCTATAAGCCATTCCCTCTTTATTTCTTTCTTTCATTTATTAAAAGTAATTTGGGAAAAAAACATCCTTCAGTCTGAAATCTGCCTTTGAAGACCTGGCCAAGAGCTACTCTCAAATGATTTTACAACAAAATCTGGTTTTCAAGAAACAAATACTTTCTGAACATTTTAGAAATTGTTCCAATGTAAATATTTGCCTATAAGAAACAGTTACTGCTTTGGAGAAGCACTCACTATTTACATATTCTTTAAATTTGTAGAACAGTACTATGGTTAGCTTCGTGAGAGCCTCACAGGGTGAAACCCCCACTCCAGCATGGTCAGACCTTGTAGCCTCTTGTGGAGGAAGCAGCTGATCTGGGCTGTGAAAGCCCACACATCACCACCAAGATGAAAGAGCAATAGCGCTCAACAAAATCAGGGTGCAGAGGATGCAAGATGGGAAGGAAGTCAGAGAAAGGGGATGCAAAAAGAATTAAGATGTGTCATATACGTGTACCAACTCCCCATGATAAGTGTAATCATTATGTACTGCAGGTATGTACTAACAGAAATTTTTTCAAAAGGCTACAGAAGGAGGAGAAACCCTAAAGCTCATGATGATGAAGTAACTACAACCACTTTTTAATATGATGAATGAGAAACTATTTGTATTTTAACATAAGTATATAAAACCTGTTGGAATTCAGCTGAGTGGTCTATTTAGTCCTGCCTGAAATTCTCAGTGTACCTCATATCAGCTGAAGTCTTCCTGGTCTTCAAAGTCCAAATAGTACTGTCTGGAACCCTCACTCCACACCCTGAGGGATTATATGCATTTACCAAGATTCTTGGAAATTTTAAGTGGGTTTGTGGTTTGAGCTCTCATTCCCATGAATTAATTCAGCTGATGGATCATTTTATTGTTCTTGTTTGCTCCTTTTGCTCTCCACTGTGCCTGCCAGGAGAACTCTCTCTTAACTCAATAATAAGGCCCTGACTCAACCCAGACATCTCCAGCTGCACCATCTCCACATCACGTTTGTCCATCACACCCTTTGGGTGAAGATAGGGGAAATGCTATAACAAGCAATGCAAACAACTTTGCAGCACCTAGCAAGTATAGCTGTTAACCAGAGGGCTTTGGGTCGCTGCGCCACTGCATGTCCATTCTCCTCGTTTAGCATCCCCCTCTTTCTGTACCTCTCTTCCCTTGCTTCTAATCTGCTTCCTCTTTGAAGATCCCCAATTGTTCATACTAAGCTATACAGGCAGGTCAGCTCTCTGAACTCCCTAGGTTCAAAATCAGTTCCAGGTCTCCTTTTTGTATCTCAGATGCAAACAAACAAACCAAGCTAGGTACAGTGATGCTACTTGCTGAGGCAGGAGGATCACAAGTTCAAGGCCAGTTAAGCAACTTAGCAAGATCCTGTCTCAAAAAATAAGAATAAAAGTAAAAAAGGCTGAGGATGTAGCTCAATAGTAGAGAGCCCTAGATTCAATCCCTAGCACCGCCCCTACACACGCCTTCAATTTAGATAGACCTACTCTTAGAAAGCAGTTGTTATTGTGAATAGCAATTTATTTCCTCTCATATATCTGAATTAGCTTTCATTCCTTTGAGAAACCATTTCTGTAGCCTGAGCCTGGATACATGTCTAGATCTATTTCTTTGTGTCTAGTCAAGGAGCAGCTACTTAACTGGATGGAGTATTTCGTCCTCAACTACAGGACAAGCTAGACTTACGCAAATCCAGTGTTTAGCTTTGGTTCAATTTCCTGCCTTTTAGCTCTAAACTCTTCAGCCTGATATTCAAGGGGTTCCTTCCTTCTATTGCCCACTTCTTTTTTTTTTTTTTTTTGGTTTTTCTCCGGTACTGGGAATCAAACTCACCATCTTGTGCTTGCCAAGCAGGTGCTGTGCCGCTGAGCTAAATCCCTAGCCCCTTCCATTGCCCACTTCTGCAGTTTCTTTTACCCAAGTCTGTCTCTCTTGTACCTGCCAAATGTGGTCAGGGATGGAGACCATAACTGTCTTACTCATGGGTCCCAGAGTGGTGGTCTTGAGTGGCTCCTTCCCTGTGTTTTATTTCTCTGGCTTTTGTTTGGACACCATGGACAGTGATGACGCAGTCTCTTTCTCCCCAGTACTTGGGGGAGGTACATTTTCCATACAAGTGTCAACTGTTTCCCCAGGTTCACATCCACAAATTCATTCATTCAAAACAATTCCAGTGCCTGCTGTGGGCTAAGAGGCTTACTTATAACTGGGATGAGGGTGGCAGGATATTTCAGGGCTGAATATACTTTGGTGACACCAGAACAACACACTCTGGTTTCAGAACCGAGGATAAATGCTGTAAACAGAAAGAATGACACTTCTTCCTCTCAGTCTAATGACTCTTTCTCTCCTCAACACATCACCGGTACTACCCACCAGCCACATCTGTTCTTCCCTCATGCAGCAATTTGAGTGTGGGTGCTGTGAAGTCTTCCTGCTTCAGAATAATTCTGTCTATAATGAAACACCATATATTTTAGTCTTTAAAGTTATAACCCAGAAGCGTGAATTTCCTCTTCACTATAGCCAAGATGACCAGATCTGCTTATATATGTGAAGAAAAATCAGAAGGGATGAAATATTCTACCATATTCCATTCTGCATATAAGTAGAGCACCCCTCCATTTTTTATGCGAATAAAATGCCGCTCCAAACCTGTTAACACTTCTTGGTCATACTGTGTCATCTTATGTTGGGAAGCTTTGGCAAAGACAGAAAGAAAAATTAGAAGTCAGTGCAATGACAAGGAAGGTTTACTTAGAAACACATGCCAAGGGAATCCCTTCTGTACAAACATCTATTTTCTCAATCAGTGAATAAAAATGTACGCAAAGATATTATCAGAAACAAGTATATTCTAACCATGACTTTTCTAAGTTACTCACTTTGCTCACCCTCAGAGATTTATAGTTCAACCATACAAGTTCAGAGTGGAAAGAAGAAAGGCCATTTATCTAATCCAATTCCTTGGGAAGAAATACTTAGGCGATATTAAGAATCTTCAATTATCTAATTTTATAAAAAGGATGATTTATATTCTGTACTCAGTAACGTGTGATACTGATTATTTCTAATCCCTTAGAAGAGATCTGACATTATGCTTTTGGTGCTGTATAGCATGAAATCATCATGTATATTTCACCGAAAGAAGTAACAAGAATAATGGCCTCTGCAGTCTGCAATCATTTCATACTAACACACTGCAACATGGTTTTGCCCTGGGGCAGAGAAGTAGGGATTTTTCTCTACTTCAAAAGAATGAAAAATTATCATCACTCTATCCAAAGCCATTATAGACTTCAGAGACTTTGGCATGAAATATTCAGAAAGTTTATTTTAGAATTCAATATTTTAAAAGCCTGCTTTAAAACTATTACAGTGATTAGTGGCTCTCTTGCTTGGGCCAGTTTTGCTTTAAAAAGCCCTGTGTCCTGGTTGATACCATTTGCAGAATTTTCATCCACAGAAGCCATATGGAAGCATGTATGCATTGTTTTAGAAAACCCCCCAAAGAGGCATTAGGGCCACAACTCATCAGTAATCATTTCAAATACTCTTTAAAGAATATTCCTTGTATTTGTTACAGTTCTGACATGCTACTTATGCTGGGGTTTAGTCCTGACACATTACCTTAACCATAGGGGATGGGTGCCATTTTGTGCTGCCTGTTCAGAAACAGGTGATGTTCCTGTCACAATGGTTTAAAGACACAGGACAACCATGCTGAGGCCACCCCACCAACAGCAACAACCAGCCGCGGTCCATCCCTCCTCTCAGGACTCGGGAAGGCTTAGTGGGTGTTCATAAGGCGTTAACCAAGTTCCCGAGACCATGAATGAAGCCTGTGAAAACTTCGGGGGCTGGGGTCAGTCATGTGGGAACAGCAGCATAGCCCCTCTCTCTGCCCTGTTCGTGTAGCAAAGTGGTGTGGGATAGCAGCGGAGCCCTGGGTTGAGAGTTTAACTATCCCGGTTTGAGTTCAGCTCTGCTGCCTACTGGCAGCCTGATTGTGAGAAAACTGTGAGGTTCCTGAAGGCTTGGTGCCTCTTTCCGTACAATGCACTTTGTTCTTGTTATTATTTGTTCCCAAAGTGGTTTTGTTATCTCCTGCTTATCTCGCATTTCCATTAGGCAGTGCATGTATAGTTTTACAGGTTACAAAAAGGACAACTAGCAAAGTCATCCCTCCTTTTCTTGTATAATCTGTACATTTGGCTTTATGTAAGTGGGTTGAATGTATTATTTTTGTGGGTTTTAATAAATTCTCTTTCTTTCCTTCCCACCTGACTATTATCAATGCAGGAGTAAAAATACGGCCATCAGTCTTAGTCTTCAAGTAGATAATATGTGCAGAGACAGAAAGGTACTAGGTTCACTAGATATGTAGGTGCTGATGAGAATAATATGTAAATAACTTTTTGTTTCATTTTTCAGGGAAGTGGATCGTGACTCAGATGGTCACGTCAGCTTTAGAGACTTTGAATACGCTATGAAGCATGGACAAAATGAAGCCTAACTATTGTGATCTACTTTTTGGCAACTGTAGGGAGATCTATAGATTGTAAATATACTCGAAGATCAAAGCCCAGAGTGAAGCTGCCCCTGAGGCTGTGCCTCCTCTCTATTCTTGTTACCCCGTCACCCACCAATTCTGCATTGGAGTGTTCCACTCGCTTCTAGTCTTCACCACCCGACCAACCGGGGGCCCTGGTTCTTATCAGCTCCTGAAGGCTGGTAGGGGCAGCTGTTCCCTGCCAGTGGTGGCAGTTCCCTTCATTCATACCACATTGGTTGAACAGGTAGTAGCATCTATGTGTACTGTATGCTTATTACAGCCGATTCTAAGCAATGAGAAAGGCATTGGGAAAATAAGGACATAAGATTTATCTGAGATAAAGTACCCAGAGTCCAAGTCTTCATCACACAGTGACCCCAGGGTACGGGTGGTGCAAGGCAGGGGAAATCAGATTGCAGTAACGCAAGGCAGCCCTCTCGCACCTTACGTAGAGGAAGAAAGAGTGCAGTGTGGGTCCTGGGAACAAAAGATGTGTTTACAGAATCCTGTTGAGTGGTCTGACTCTGAGCTTCCTGTGCAGAGAAGCAAACCCAGGCCTGCCTATCTGCCCTCCGCTGCACACTTCCGGTTCTGGCTTGTTCTGCCCTGCACCGAGAGCCATACTATTACTGGATCCAGATCCTGGTCTCCATGCTCTGCCTGTCTTCCTGGCTCCACTGACTGCTACACTAGAGCAAAATCTGGGACACTGGACATTCAGCATTCACTTAAAATAATTCCAAAGTGCTGATATGAATACTAATTTTTAATGTCAGTGTTCACAATTCACAACATTAACAACAGAAGTGAAACAGTATATAATTCATATCTTTAAAGTGTTAAATGTTTAAAGGTCAAATAAAAATGTAAATTTGCAGAACAAAAACATTTAGCAAGCTTCATTCTCATACAAATTATTAGCAGATAACCTTAATAAAAATAAAGTTGTAAACTATGAGGAGCCTAAGGAAACATGATAGGTAAACATAAGCTGGTGTCCTAGGTGGCTCCTGGAATAGAAAAAGGACTTTAGGTTAAAAAAAAAAGTCAGATATGGACTTTAACTACTGATAATATATCTGTATTGATTGGTTCATTAATTGTAACAAATGTACCGAACTCTTAAAAAAAGTGTTGATAATAATGAAAATTGGATGAAGGGTATATGGAAGCTCTCCGTACTATTTTTATAATTTTTGGGGGCTGGGGATTTAGCTCAGCGGCAAAAGCGCCTGCCTGGCAAGCGCAAGGTCGTGAGTTCGGTTCCCGGTAGCGGAGAAAAACCAAAAAAAAAAACAGCTGTCCTATTTTCATAATTTTTTGAGAAATCTAAAATTATTAAAAGATTAGATTTGTTAAAAATAAATTCAAATTTAATAAACTAAACTTTACTTAAAATGAAGAAATGTTGAAAATCCTTAAGTGCAAATGAAGTATTATTTCAAAAACAAAATGTACCAATGGTACAATGAGTACCAATGAGTAGCACATATGTTTTTGTACAAATTGTTCCACTTGTTGAAAAGCCCTTTCTGACTTTGGGTAGAATTTTGTTCAGCAAGTATTTTCATCATAGATTGAATAGTTGAGTCATTGGTCCTAATCTCAAAAGATAAATGATTCAGATTTTAGATTTGCAAAATATCAAAATTTTAAATACACTAACAAAGTGCTTTTATTCCGGTAATTGCCAGAACTGCAAAGCCTCATACTGCAGTCACCATTTGGACCTCATTTCTTCTAAGAAACATGAGTAGGGAAAGGGGGAGTGACCTCCCACAGTGGCTGCGGGAAGCAAGAGGCGAGGTTGGGAACAGCTATTGGGTAACAGGGTCTCACTATGCAGTTCAGGCTGACCTTGAGCCCACTTGGTAGCCCAGGCTGGCCTCGAACGATCCTTCTGCCTCAGCCTCCCGAGTGCTGGGATTACAGGCGTGCGCCACCGTGCCCAGCTTGGGCAACTCTTTTGACTCTGGATAATGAAGGCTCTTTTTGGTTTCAGGGACTGCCCAAACTAGCTTATGCTGCAAAAGAACTTACTAGAAGACACTGGGCTAGCTTATGGAAACTAACTAGGAAGGGCAGGGGTGCGCCTGAGTTTTCAGGACAACTAGACGCACCATTACGCTCACCTCTAGACTCTGCCTCCCTCCCATAGTCAACAACAGTTTCATATCATTTAAAAGGAATCATCCCATGAACCATCCCGTTCCGAGCCCAAAGACTCCAGAGAGAAGCTCTGGTTGGGCCCCTGGATCAGTCAACTCTGGTTCACCCAGAGGCAATGGACTTGGCCACTGCCACTCACCCATGTGTACTGAGGGCTGATTGTAGACGGGGAATTGACAAGACTGGGGCAGCTATTTTCTAGAAAATAACACTATGCCTTGGACCCCCCACCAGGAAGGAATGCGCCTGTAGGATTTACAGCTTAGAAGGATTCAGTCTGTCAGAGCAAAGACACAAAGAGGAGTAATGAGAAGCTGCTTACGTCACCTTCCCCTCCTGTCACTTGTCCTAGGCCCAGTCCCCCTCCTCATCGTATAAGCTTTCCCCCAGCTTCTTGTTCCAGGTTGTAGTCTCTATTCTAGTCCCCAGAGCACATGCTACTGTCTGTGCAGTGTGACCTTGCGTGGCCCAAGGATGGGCATCGATTGAAGCTGCTCAGCCCAGCCTGTGCCTTTAGAGAGCATGCAGAGTGCGAGTGAGTGAGACAGAGCAGGGCCCTTCTGATAAGTGGGTAAGGGGGTCAGACTCGGGGGCAGAGCGAGACACAGCCTAGGAAGCAGCTGGTTTGCAGTGAAAGCAGAGGAAGAAAATGGACACCAAGAGAAGAACAAGAAAAGAGTGCTCGGTTTCTGATTAAAGCTTGTGTGCAAAGCCCAGACGTGGCCCTTTGGGTCCTGTGAGGTAACTCTGTATCCTTCCAATAAATCTTTCTGCTCAAGCCAGCTGGAGTCACTTTCTGTTATTTGAAACCGAGAGAAGCCTCACCGTTGGGATCATGCAGCCACAGAGCCAAGGACAGAGTCCTAGGTAACATTAGCGTTTACTGGGGCAGCAGAGAAAAGTCTGACAAAGACTAAGAAGCAGCAGCTGAAGGTGGCAGAGGAAGCTGCAACCACGTCCCTCTCGTGTTCCCTACCTTGCTTGACCTCGTACTATCACTCAGCTCTAGTCTCCCGAGTTGTAGTCACTCTCAGCCAAGTCACCAAGGTGCCACCAGTGGCCAAATCTGCCAGCCCCTCTCAGATCTCACACACTGACCCTTCTCCTGGGCCTGAACTGACGTCTGTGCCTTTGGAAGCCCCTCTTCTGTGACGTGGGTCTCGTGGTATTTCTGTGTCCATGTTTTTCCCTACCATTTCTTTTAGTTTACAGTCATCCCCAAAGTGGTGGTATTCTCCGAGGCCCTGTAACTGGCCCATCTTCTTAATCAACACATTCTTCAGGGTTGATTTCAGCCACCGCCAAGATTTCAGCTACCTCCTTTGTGTGTCTAACTCCACAAACAAGTCTTTCTCTTTGACCTGGACCTCTACTCAATTCCAGGCCCATGTTTTCATTGGCCAGTCAGACCTCTCCACCTCAGTGCAAATGAATTCGACTAAAATCAGACTCATTTTCCCTTAATTTTCAAAATTGGTTTCCTATCCTCTGTTTTCTGTTTCTCTGAATGGCAACCTCCTTGGCCAGCCCCCACCCCAAGCTGTCATCCAAGCAGCTGCCTCCGAGTCGTTTCAAATCTCCCTGTCTTCCTCAGCTCTGACATCCAGCCAGTCACTAAATCCGCTTGAGCCTGTCTCTGTAAAACATTCATGACGTGTTTTTCCATTCCATCCTGATCTCTGCCCATGTCCGTATTCCCCCTCCAGCCCTTCCCTGCAGTCATTTGTTCTCCTATTTTTTTCATGTAACGATCAGTAAAAGGTGGGCGTGTAAGTAAGTAAGAAGCAGGACCTGCTGTCAAGACATTTTAGCCTAGCATGCCAGTGATCTACCCAAAGCACAGACAAAATTGCTTTTTCCTCTGCTCAGAAGCCTTGAGTGCCATCTTTCCTATTGGGGAATATCTAAACCGGTAATATGTCATTCAAAGCCCTCTATAACGTGGTATGAGCTTTTATTTCCAGTTTCGTTGTTCACAGCTACCTCTGCCATACCATGCCGCTTCCAGGGAAACACACACTGCAGTCCCTCCACCTAACACCAAAATGGTAATAGATATTCGCCCAAATTAGAAAAGTAGCCAATGCTTTGGGAAGTAATATCTGATGGATAATAGGAAAGTGCAATCATGAAAAATTATTTTAAAAATAGAACAGGCCACTTTCCTCTTCACAAGTATTTTTTCCAGCACTGAAGAAAATAATAATAATAATAATTGCATATTATGAATCACCAAAATTATGTTGAATTATTAATCAAACCCAAGTTCAAAAGACAAAGATTAGGAAGTGCTAGAAACTGTAAAGGTACTACTGAAGGAGAAAGAGTTCTAGAAATACTCTGAACAGCGGAAGCACTGTTGAATAGGTGGGCACCCTCACCAGCCCGTACTGAGGTCTATAAATTCCAGATAGTGTATTTTACCCACCCTTGTAGTTGATGTTCACATTATACTTCTAGGCTGGTAATTTAATATCAATGAAAACACTGTTATTTTCCTATTTCTTGTAACTTTTGAGAAATTTGTTTGGAACTGCAGAATTGGGCAGTTTTAAAATAACAAACAAACAAAAAGGAAATCAAAACCAAACAACCTGTCACACACAGATTGAAATTCAGTGTCACTAGGTATAGCAGCTCACAAAGCAACCTTTCTTAGAAAACAAATTTAAATTGGATTGTCCGCATGGATTGAACGGTAGCCCAAACAGTTTAACACAATAAAATATAGGGTATCCAATCTAAATTTCTCTTACAGTGAGTTAGTGAAACAAATGTGAATAAAAAAAGAGCCCTGTTCTAATTTCAGAAAAAACACATTATATGAAAACAAACTGAAATTCAAATATAGTCCCTATTTTATGGTTTACTGAATCTTAAAAAAACTAAAAGAAGAAAAACAGGTAAGTTCTCAAAAGTATGTGACTTCAAAAAGAGCAATTCTAATAATATTGAATTTATAAAAAAATTTTGACCAAGGGGCTGAAAATATATTACATTTATTGTCATAGCAATAGTCATTGTAAAGTAGAAGTCAGGTTTGGGTGTCTTTCTTATTTTATATAAGGAAGCCAAGCCTGATTTTAAATGGCTTTTCTAAGGTCAGACGTGTCAGAGATAGTGCTTGAATCAGTTTCTTTACCAAGATTTCCCTATTGTTACTGGATATGCTCATGGGATGGCTTCTTCATTTCTTTTTTCTCACTTCCTTTTTCCTTTTCTCCTTCCTTCCTCTTTTCTTGGTTACATCCACAAATAGAATTATGTACATTGGACTATTGAAGTTTCAATCTGACCTGTTTCTTGGCTGATACCCAAACATATATTCAGCAGAACACTGGTCCCTGCCCATCGTTACAAATGGAAACCAAAATCCCAGGACATCTGTCTTTTCATCACAAGTGGCAACTTGTTGGCCATTATCTTCAAATACTTATTTTGCCGCATTCTTGGAAGAAAATGTCTTTATCAGACCCTAGTTGACCGTATTTTATGTCAGTGACATTACCAGATATGTCTCTCATTTGTTCTTCTTTTCATACTACTCTTCCTCCTTTCTCTCTCTGTTTCAAAGGATAATTTCTGCTCTTATTCTTTACCCAGCAGGAATGAAAAATGGTACAGACACTTTGGAAGACAGTTTGAGAGTTTCTTACGAGGCTAAACATAATCTTTCCACATAATGCAATCATCAAGCTCTTGGCTATTTTGCCCAATTGATTTGAAAACTGATGTCCACACAAAAATGTACATGTGACTGTTGATAGCTGCTTTTTTTATAATTATCAAGAATTGGAAGCAACCAAGATATGTCTTCCAAGATGCAAATGGATGGATATTCCTTAGAATTCAAAAGCAGTACTCTTCAAAACTGTCACTGTCATGAAAAGCAAGGAAAGCCTGCAAAACGCCAAGAGGAGCCCAAGGAATCATGGCGACTAAATATAATCTAATAGCCTGGATGAGATCCTGGAACAGGATTTTTAAGTAAAAAC